GTTCCCTTTTTCTATAAATTAATTTTATTTATTAATATATAAGGTTCTCACTTAAATCATTCTTTTTTCTATAAATATAACATCAATGTAACAGAGCAAATAGAAGGTGCTATCAACAGCACAGCAATGTCATCAAATACCAAGTCTAAGGTTTCTGTGACTGGTTTAGCATCACTGTAATGCAATTGTTTTAGCATTACTGTAATTTTTATGGGATAGAGTAAACACAAAAACAAAACATAAAAGAGAGAGCCACTTTTCCTAAACATTTGAGACATGCAGGAAAAGACCTCCAGACCAATAATGACCAAATGCACCATGGTAAGATGTAAGAAAATATATTTATTTCTTTCCATGACAATACTATGATAAAATTGTTAAATACATGCATGTTTTAAAAACAGACATAGATAACATCTTTATAGAATTAACAGCCAAGCGATACTAGTTTTATATTTGTGTCTTAATAATAGGTTATTTACATATTCTATGTTCTTGTGATAATCATGTTTCCTGAAAGACATGGAAGTTAAATTCTGAAATTATGATATAAAATGTTTAAATTTCCCATTCTAACAGCAATATAATATCCAAAATTTCACAAGGCTGGAAATACCTCAGCTATTGATCTCTGTGAGTGTTGTTTTATTCCACACTCAACTTAGAAGTCTGTGAGTCTCAGTGAATCACAGAGACACACATCAATCTGGTTTACTTCCTGTATATGCATATTTAAAAGATTCCTTATAGGATTAAACATGATTTTAGGTATTGCACATCATAATCGGTCATTTGTATTAACACAAATGTCTGTAGTGGTAACTTTACAGGAAATGAAAAAGGAAACTGTGGGAACTACAATGTCTGTCTTTTCTTAGCTACACATACACACACCTGACCAAACAAAAGTTAGTAAACACTATTTATAAAAACCTAAAAATATTTAACATAACACCATCTTAAAAAAACATTCATTCCACAAACCTTATAAAAGACAAAAACTTATATCTGTTCACAGTTTGTATATTTTGTAAACAGCAACACACTGTAATGCAATTCTGAAAGAAAAAAAATGGCAATTGCTTAGTGTTACAGGGATAATGGCTTATGACCAGCAAATGGGAGATTTGGTAAAAATAATTTTGAAGAAATATTACTAGGAACACTGTATTTTTAGATGTATTTTACCTTTGAACATGCCTATAAGTTAGAATCATCTCAGACTCAGGATATCAGTCTAGAACCATGTTTTCATAGCAACCCTGAATGGGATGTGTTTCACTACTTGCTCTGTCTCAGGGTATCCCATAATATCTACCCCACCATGAGGAGTGGAAAAGGGTTATTCCCCAATGCTTCACCGTGGTACTTCATATTTTCTTAAGTAATACATTGGAAGGAAAATTAAACTGTAGGAACTGGGGGCTAATAATCAACTACTAGGAGAAGAGGGTGACAGCATTTGGATGAAATGGGGAGACTACCATCTGAAAACTATATTTCATCATTTTGTTCTACGACCACCTGCTAAAGTACTAAATTGCCCGTGACTTAAGAAAGATGGGATGAACAGTGAAAAATATTTTGATATTTGAGGATATACCACTAGAATTCCTGGAAGTTAAGATTGCACATTTAAAATGGAATAATTAAAAATAAAAGTGCATATAAGGAAATTTAAGTAGCCAGCCAATTAGACATACCCAATATTTTAAGCATAAGTACAACAAAAAGCCTGAAATAGTTTGATTTCTTTTAAAGTTCTGATTGACCAATACAAAGGTGAACTTGAAGACACCTTTACATTTATGTAATAAACATTAATTTTTCTCAGCATTTTTTTCATTTTTAAAGTATTCAGTTCTAGCAACCAAAAAGTAATGTAAATTATCATGTATTCATATTTGGTTAATGTGCAATCAATTACGGTTTATTTATAATAAAAGTATACCACAGTTAGAATTTAACTTAAGCAAATTCTGTTTACACATTGGACAAAATTATCATTCATAATGCAGGGAGAAGAGGTACTACTCTGGTTAAAATAATGGAATCCAGTCATATTCTAAAATCATAATTAAAAGCATGTGGATATTCTAGACCAAATTGTAACCCCAGGAACTCTAACAAGATGAAACAAAACTTGATATTGCTCAGCTGAATGTCATTTTCTATCCTTTATGTCTTCATTTAAAAATAATTCATCTGTATTATAATCAGCATGAACATGATCATGCAATTATCAAGATAAAAGTAGTAATTGAAAAGGAGTAAAAAAAAAAAAAAATCTAACAACCCTAGCAAACTAAGAGGTTTAACCAGTATAAATAGCTCAGGGATAGAATCATGATTCAAACTAAATGAATTTAAAGGATACTCTAGGGTTATATCAAAAAGATTAATGTCCTGTAAATTTGGCCACACTTTTCCCCCTTCCTTCTGCAATATTTTTTTGGTTCTGGATAAAAGAGGGAAGACAGATATGACAGCATGAAACTGTTTTAGCAAGAAGTATCTGTTCAAAGGAAATGTCTTTGAAATGTCTGGTGAGTCTTCTTGGTCTTTCCTCAAACTGTGGAGCTGTTCCCACAGTATATTCAAATCTCTCAGATATATTCAAGCCTTATCATCCTTCTGCACAGTTCTGCTGAATTTGTAACACTAGAAAGGGACTTCATCAATACAGCCACTGGGCTTTCACTGTGTGCCTGGCATTAGCAGCTCATGACCCCTCCTCCATACCTCACTTGGAAAACAAAGTTATTACACTTCCAGAATCCTTTAAAACGGTGTTTCACTAATTCTAACACAGTTTGAAACAGGAAACAGCAAAAATTACCTTAGTGCAAACAAACAAGTTTCTCCAGATTGTCTAAGCAGCAAGAAACTTTGAGATAATACTTTCTGCACATTGATATATTAAGGGTACCTTAACTGAAAATTGCCACGATGTTACTTCTGAATTCCTATCGGGAAGGAAAATTCTCTAGCCTTGCATTTAATTAACATGGAAAGGCCTGGGATATGTGATAAATACAGATAGTATTACCAGCACAGGAGAAATTTCTAACATGACTTCAGTTTGCAAGGTCTAAGAATGTGACTTTCTACCATTTGTGAGTATGATAGTACTGGGTGTTCTGAATGCAAGCCTTCAAGTTCCATGAACCATGAGAGCAATGCTAATATGGAAAATGAGGCTGACACTTCCTCCCTCAAGCTTCCCAATGAATGGCTGCTTCTGTTACCAGCAGCAGGAACAAAAGCACCTCTATCACACAGCATAGAAACAAACACAGCTTTCTAGATTTGCAGGACAACCATCTCAATCCCTGGACACCACCGGCTCAAAAGCTGGGAGGATTCGGAAGGTATGTGTAATTAATGCAGTACAAAACTCACAGCTCTCATGCCAAAAGCCTGGTTAAGTAATTAAGGGTATCTTAATGCCTAATCACAGGGGATCTGAGTGAAACAGGCTTACAAAAGGGTGACAACATGTCCTGTATGTCCCTTTCTGCCCTGTTCTCTTCCTGTTCTATATGCACAACTCAGGAGGAATTGCTGAGGCAATAACACTGCACAGGGATACAGCTGTCTTCAATTCAATGGGGAAAGACCAGGCAGTCTGCCTTAGCCTCAGTCCCAAGCCATACTGTCTTAAAATAATCCCTGAGCACCCTGCCTCTCAGCAGCCCAGTGGCCCTTGAGAATGGGATTCAGAGGCAGCATGAGATGAGCAGCACTTTAAATGGCCCTCACTCTAGACACCCATGTGAAAAGGACATGTTTTGATGACAGGATGAGTCTATTTCCTCTGCCCTTTCCTTGTGTTCTCAGATTAATGGAGTTCAGGACAAGAAGTTACTACCTTTCCAGACACTTATCCTCAGTGGATGGAATACAAAACCGATAATGGGGAAGGAGGCATGAGCCGAGGGCAAGAGGAGCAAGGCAGTAACAAGACATGGCAGGGGGAAGAGGCAGCCCGGGCTCTGAGTGGCGGGGTGGAGAGTGGAGAAAGGAGCCATAGAGGGCACAAGGAAGACAAATTAAACTGTTTGGAGTACTTTTCATTGCTGAAAAAATGTCTAAGAGTTATTATCTACCTTTTATATTATATAAATGCATAACAAATTCTATTTCATTCCACATACCATCATATCATGAAGTTCCAAATTGTAGTTGAATGCTAGGGTTAAAAACAGGATCATGCATTGACTATTAGATTTTTGTCCCTTGTCATCCTACATTTTTTCCCACATGCCTTTTTTAAAAAATAAAATATGAGGCCAGGCATGGTGGTGCATGCCTTTAATCCCAGCGCGCAGGAAGCAGAGGCAGGTGTACCTCTGAGTTTGAGGCCAGCCTGGTCTTCACAGTGAGTTCTTGAACAGCTGAGATATATAATGAGACCCTGTCTCAAAAATAAAAAACAAACAAACAACAACAAAAAGGTAAAAATAAAGACGTTCATAGGAACAACAACAACAAAACCCAATTCATTACCTGCAAATTTGGGGGGATTTCAGATGACACAAAACCAAGATTTTCTACTCAGGTGTCTCAAACTAACGAACTTTGACAAAGGCAGAACAGATACATGTTAGGTTTTTACTCTGCTTTTCCAAGAACCACATTCACTGTACACACTGCTCTTGAGAAACCAGGATGGATGGAGGGTGCTGTGTTCAGGATCCTGCTCATCACGTCTTACAGAACAATCACCAGCCACTATCCTCCAATTCCATGAGTTTTATGACTTCTATTAAAATCACCCTCTACTAGCTGCTCTGGAGAGAAATAATCTCCCTTTATGGATTTGAAGACTGGGTCTGAAGAGTCTAGACCACCAACTGCCTGAGGGAGGAGGGACTGTGACTCAGGAGTGGAAGAGAAAGCTACTGAGAGGCCCCAAAGATCATCACCAGCTATTGATCAGGCTTAATGGTGAACTGAGCCTTATCAGAGTGATGGGATTGCCATACACCAGGAGCTATTTCTTAGTAGTCATCTTACACAGTAACTCATCACAATTATATACTTGTGAATAATGTTGGATTTGCTCTTATAAAGCAGACACTATAATACAAAACAAAAACACAAAGAAAATTTGGAGACAGTTCTAGAAATTTCCAACTAGAGGACAATGGGCCGCACAATGGAAGCTATTATGCAAGCTATGTGATAGGAGAAAGGCTTTCATGTCCACTCAAAGCAGGACAATGTGATTCTGATTTGGGCTGGTCAGTGTCACACTTGTTTTTCCAAGTTTGTACCCCTGAGACAACTGTTTGATAACTATGATACAGTAGGCAGAGAAATCAGCACACTCCATCAACTGGAACACTGGAGAGGCACAGACATCAGTGCACTCAACCAAACAGAACACCGAATAGCTGCTGCTACATTAAAAACTAGAGTCTCTTTTGGAAATGCTGTGGATAGAGACATCATAAAAGTTTTAAAATCTGTGCTTGGTTTTCCTCTGGACTGCAATAAATGTCAGGCAAATCAGCATTATTTTGACTTGTACATTTTTCTTCCTTGCCTGTAAATCCACTTGGAATTCCACAACATACAAAGATGAGAAAACCACTAACAACAGACAGTTGTGAGATTTGTTTTGCATATATATATGTACTAGGCAGAGTTAGTAGTGAAATCCTTGTGGAGGATTCTTTGGCTCAATCAAAACCAGCTTCAGATCTTGAGTTTCTGTGGCTGAGGTCTCTGAGTCACTGTACTTTGGCTTTTAGGATACATTAAAAGCACGTTAATGCTTCTAGTGTCACTTGCCTGGGATGAAGGTCCCTGGCTCAACATTTGCAGGGTCCCTCCAGGAATGCCCCGACAGCTGGCTGCCGGGACACCAGCAGTGAGAGCTTGTTGAGATGGCAGACTGAAGTGGCAAAGGATGACCGGTTAGTCGTTTGGTTTGTTCTGGAAAAAGTTTGTAAAGGACCACCCTCCTCCATTAGATTTAGGAAAGTCTTCATCTTTAGGAGGAATCAAAAATTGCCTGGAATTGATGGAGCACGGACTCCCAAAAGAGACAATTTCACTGTTGCTGTCTGTGGACCTTGGGGAATCTGGAGAGACCAAATTCCACGTATTCACATTGGCCTGGGGTCTGTAACCTGCAGTTTTATCTGCTTCATCTTCTGCTGCTGTGTCTTCCGCAGCAGAGTTTATGGGGAGGCGCATCTGTGGCTTATAGCCTGCCACCACCCCAGGGTCAATGCCCTGTTCTTCCTCTGGTTTGGCTTGAGGCTGATACATGGATTGAACATCAATGTACACAACCTGGGAATTCCCTCCCGCTTCATCTGCTGAGGGGTTGGCTATTTCCTCCTCGATGATGGGTGGGCAGTAAGACACAACCACGTGGTTCTCGGGGTCTGCCTCGGAGCTTTCCCCAGGACGCTCAGCCACTGGGGAGATTATTTCTGTGTCTTCTATTTTAGGAACTATTGATCGAGATTCCAGAACTTCAACATTATTTGGGGTACAGGGATTCATTTCCAATGTCTTCAGAGCACTGCTTCCCTGGAAATACATTTGGAACAGTGGTTAGAACAACACTGTGTGCTACAGGAAGACTTGCATTTTACTTTTATCCCCCTTTGCATCTGTTTATAAACACTGGCCTCTGCAGCTATGGAGTCCATATCCAGAGCAAAGCTACTTGGTTTTTTTTTTCCCCCACATCAATATTTTCCTTACTATTCATAGCAGAAAAGAAAACACTGGAGATGGAGAACTCTAGACATTCAACAGATGTTAAAGCTACCTTCTTCATACTTTTTTCTTAGGCTGACACTCACACATCTCAAGCTTCTCACAAAAGACAGAAGGGGGCCCCTTTGTCCTCAAAGACAAATGTATGGAAGGAAGGGTTACCTCGCAGATGCTCTTCTGAAACTGTAAGGCTTTACAGTTTTCTGGGTTGGGAATATCAGGGTAGAACGTTTCTTTAATCCTTCAAATAAAGAATGAATCAGATTTAGTAACTGTTGAGCATAGATTTTGTAACAAAATGAGGATGTCATTCAAAGTAGCTGGAGACTTTTCTACGACAATGCCAATGAGCACCTGAGACCCAGAAGGAAGCTTCCAACACAGGGCTCTGGTGTGCAGGCCTAGCACCACGGCTCTGTGCTTGAGCTACAAGGCCTTATTTGGCTCAAGGAAATGAAAGTAAATAATTTGCAGAGATGTCCGCGATCATGTCTCACACGAAATACTGCCAATTTTTCATTGCAATCTGGATTAAGCAGGGTCAGTTACTCAAGGGACTTTTCCATATTAGCAGTCCTCTGCTTGTCACAGGTTCGGGACTGGCATGGAAGCCCTCAACTAAGGTGGGTTAAGTATAGTGAGCACTTACATTTTTAAAAATTAGTTCTATTTCCTTCCTTCCTCCCTCCCTCTTTTCCTCCCTCTCTCCCTCCCTCCCTTCCTCTCTCTCTCCCTTCCTTCCTTCCTTCCTTCCTTCCTTCCTTCCTTCCTTCCTTTTCTTTCTTTCTGTTTTTCAAGACAGGGTTTCTCTGTGTAGCTCTGGAGCTTGTCCTGGAACGAGCTCTTGTAGACCAGTCTGATCCTGAACCAAAGAGATCCACCTGGCTCTTCCCGAGTGCTTGGATTAAAGGCATGCAACACCACTGCCCAACTTCTATTTTTTGTTGTTGTTGCTTTTTTGTTTGTTTTTGTAGGTAGAGTCTCAGGTAGTCCACTTAGTCAAAGTAGGCCTTGAACCTGTGGCTCTCCCCCCACCCCACCCCGCCCCCACCTCTCTAGTTCTGGGATTACTGCCATGAGTCACCATACCAGGTTAAAAAAATAACAGAAAGTATTAAAGGTGACAGCCATGAATGGCAAGGACACTGCCATCTGAGCTAAAGAAAATAGAAATGCTACAAATTTCAGGTAAAAATTCAGTATCAGGGAAAATGAGGTTTGCTCAACATTCTATATTTTTAGAATTGGAACTACCAAGGACTCCATTATTTGTAATTCCTGAAGAACAGTGACTATGCTGACATGAGTCTGAATGTTCCAGCTCTGTTTTTTAAAACTGAAATTCTCGTTTCTCTATTTGTAAATATTACTATTTCCATTTAGAAGCCAGGATTGTCAGGACACAGTCTTTCTGTCATAAACAATGGCATTTTAAAGAAAGTGAAGGCTTCCTGTGCTGACTCCAGTCTCCTGTCCTCTCCTGGTGCGGACAGCTCCTGGCGGTCAACCCTACTCTTCCCTGAGCTGCTCTGTTCAGCCCCACACCCGTACCTCTCTTATATAGTGCCCCCAGTTCAGAGCCTCACTGAAACCACTCTCTCTAGAAAGTTCATTTGCCTCTTGGTACTTCTCAGGGCTCTTCACAAGGCAGCCTCCCTGATCACCTCTTCCTTCTGGTTCCTGCCTCCCTGTTCCTCTCACCGGGCGTCCACTCACAATCTGGAAGCATCCCTTTTACAGACGTCCATGCTTTCCTGACCCTTTCTCTCACTGTGCTGTGGAACTCTAAAGGCTAGGCTTGCTTTCTTCACAACCATAAGCCCTTTCTCATGGAAGGGGCATTCATACATGATAAGTAAATCAATGAAAGAAGGGATTCTACTGGGGCATCAAGACTGTGCAATCTCAATCATGAAGTTCCATCAATTCCTGCAGATAGCCATTGCCAATTTCTGGGTGAAAATATCTTTGAGACAAATTTGCCATTACTATAAATTATTAGAAAAGACAGCAGGTGGAATGTACCCTTTTACTCTAATTAGTTCTTAAATATTTTCAATAAAGTGTCATATTCTTACTTGATATTGAAGTTAACATTCTGAGTAAAAAGAGCATATTTGACTCATTTGCACAAAATGACTGAATAATGAAGCCATTAAACAAACAAGCAAGCAGGTGAATACTCAGGTACCATTACCATTCTCGCTTCCGATAGCAAAGGATGCTTGTCACCACTCCAACAACGACGGCCACAGCCACTGGGATGAGGATGGCAATAATTAATCCCACGGCTGAAAAGAAACAGTTATAAATACTGAAAATCACCACTGGAGTAATGAGTACAGAATACACTTAAGTTAGAAAACATTCAAATTTATCATTCAAAGAGACAAAAAAAAAAAAAAAAAAAAAAAAAAAAAAAAAAATCTAACTGGTCCAAGGACACCTCAAAACAGAGTAGAATTGCTCAATTCTGCCCCTGGTGACAGAGAGGCCAGATGTTTCTGGTGTGAGGAGGGGTGAGAAGGGCTGTCCTGGGTACTGTGGGAGGCTTAGCCACATCCTGGTCTCTATCCATGAGATGCCAGTAGCACTCCAGTTTCTACAGTCAAAAATATCAGCAGACATTGGCGAGCTGTCTCAGGGGTGGTGGGGGCAACATCACCTCCCACTGAAACACTGCTTTAGTATACAGCATCCTGGGTCAGGGCTTCAGACCTGGGTGTGGGCTCCCTCTGGTAGAGGGAAGACTGAAGATGACCCAAGTCTCTCATGGTGAGAGACAGCAAGGGCTCCTGCCCTACCTTGTCTATTGCCACCTTAGATTTACAAGTGTGGTGATTTACTAACATTTAGAGAGTATTTTTTACACATTTCTCTAGACACGTTAAAAATCAAACTAGCTTGGGAAAACATTTAAACTGGATAAAAAACAAAAAACCACATCTACTATGCAGTTAGGATTCTAGATTTTGGGTGCATCCCTAAATTAATTAATTTCTTACATACTCATCAGGAAGTAATTTGAAATAATGGACAAAAAAAACAAAAAAGTCCTCTCGTAGACTTTTAACACTCCCCTCTTTCTAACATAAAATGCAATAAAGTGTGAAACCTTAGAGCAATGGTTCTCAATCTGTGTGTCAAAACACGTTTGACAAACTTCTATTTCAAAAAAAGTATATTTTCATTAGGAGTCATAACAGTAGCAAAGTCACAGTTATGAAGTAGCAATGAAAATAATTGTTGTGGGTTATCACAACACAAAGAACTGTATTAAAGGGTCACAGCATTAGGAAAGTTGAGAATCATTGCCTTAGAGCTTGGAACAAAGATGCCTGGACAGTCCCCAGATGCTAGAGTTGTTATTACTTTGCTGGGGAAGGTATTTCTAGGGCAGTGTTAAACTTACAGTTTTCCTTGGTCACCACAAACATGCTTTTCTCAGGACCCAGTCCACCATGCGTATAGGCTCGCAGGACCAGGTGGTAACTGGTTTTACCCTGAAGATCGGCAATCCTCAGAGTCTTCTGGGATATGTCAGTGATATTCTTTAGTTTGATGTCAGAATGACCTGAAACGAAGAATATTCTTACTCATTCTAAGGTCATTTTAAAGACTCAGACATCAACAAGTCTGGCTGCTGGTCACACCCAGCCAAGGATCTGGGGCCTCATTCCATTCTATCTCTGGCAGTGACACCATCTAAACTACCCTAAACTTGGGCTTGGCTCCCAGTGACCGGTAAAGTTTCCAGGCATACTCTTTAGAACAATGCCTGGCATACACAGGCAAGCCATAAAAATCGCTTTCCTGTCTGTGACTAAGGGAAAGCCCTGAAACTCAAAGGCTCTCAACACAGACTCTTTGGAAGCAGCATCAGAGGCTGGATGGGGCAAGGTGGAGAGCAATAGACATGACCTCAGTCCTTAGGAAAGAACCCACGTGGTGGGAATTCTCAACAATAAGACACGGTGAGGGTGCCTTTGGGCCACTTCAATGGCAAGGGTTATTTATGAAAGTCTCAACCAAAATAATGCAAGACGAGAGTTGAAAGAGCCAAGTAGTAATAAACAGCGAGTGACAAAATGAAGAGGTTTCCAAGTGTGGCACACCAAGTTGAGGCAGGACCGAGCCCCTCCCCACTGCATCAAGGCTGAGCAAGGTATCCCCACCATAGGGAAAGGGCTCCAAAAATCTATTCAAGTGCCTGGGTTAGGTCCTGGTATTACTGCCACCACCACCACCCCCAACAGATCAAGTGAAATAAATGTCAAAAATTAATTAAAAAGATAGGAAGAGAAAAAGACAAGAAGGAAGGAAGAAGGAAGGAAGGAAGGAAATTCAAAGTATAAAACAAAGAATGAAGCCGTTTCCCTCTGGCTCCTCCTCGCCTCTATCAACCACTCTGCTGTCAGGTGTCCATTCTTTAAGAGTTTAGCTGGATTTCACAACAGCAAGCCTAGGTAGCCAGTTCTTGGTCCATTTGTGTTCAAAAAGGATGGCTGAGGATTTAACTCCTTCAGATGATCCTTTCCCCTCCCCTACCACGTTCACAGAGCAGCATCACCACACTGGGTGAGCAAATTCAGGCTCACATTGCTACCATCACATAAAGATTGGTCACTGATTAAAAAAAAAAAAGTGCTTGAAGTATCCCTACTCCACCCACCAGATCCTTCCTGGGTGCCTTCACTTCCTCCTTCTAGCAGATCCCAAAGAAAGGCAGAACAGCCTTGCATGACTAGAAAATCTTCATTCTGTTCTCTACCGGCAGAGATGCCCAGCAGACTCGGAACCCATTCTTTGTATTCTTGTGTGTGTGTGTGTGTGTGTGTGTGTGTGTGTGTGTGTGTGTGTGTTTCAATTCTACCTCTTTTGTTATTAAATACAAAACCATGTTTTAACAAATGAATAATATGCTAAGGTATGGAGCATGCAACACTAGCAAGAAGTGGTCACGGCTCTGTGGGACTTATAATGAAAGGATTTAAACTAAACAATTTTGACTCTTGAAGAGTTTACATGTTATTTATTGTATATCTTTTCAGACAGTCATGGAAACAATTATTTAGCTATGCATCAGCCTTTATTTTATGGCTAGTGAAAGTCTCTCTCTCATATATATATGTATATACACACACAACACATATATAATATTAACTTATATAATATTAGCATATATAATATATAATATTAGCATATATATATATATATATATATATATATATATATATATGCACAATAACCAAGGCAGCATTTAACCCACCTGTCTCAAAAGTTCTTGTCTTAGGTGTATCTCTCTCTCCTTTCTGAAAGTAAAATAAATACCCTCTTAAAAAGCCACGGAGCTCTTCCACAGGGATGTCTTCCCATTTTACTAATATTGAATCTGCAGACGTATCTTCCACAGTAAAATTTGGTGCAACAATTGGAGCTGTCAAAACAAGAAATCACTTGCTTTAGGGTGGCGCAGCAATAGCTTCTGAGATGCCTGGATTCAGAAACACCTATCCCTGGCATTAACCTGTATTCTCTTCTCAGCCATGAACTCTACATGCAGTGGAACAACACTTCTACACTAATGACCAGCAGAACTCAGGAAGGAATCACAACATTCACACAGGGCACACATCTAGGATTAACTTGTGCCACATCTTTAAGCGACTACGCAAACAGACTTCAAATCTTCCCCTCTGTTTAGTTCTGAACACACATCCAAGTTTAAGCTTCTGTAAACACAAATCAAGAAGTTTTGACAGCCATGATTTAACTTTCTCAATGTCAATACTGAAACTGTGAAATAAACAAGCAGGTGAAGAATAAGTGCTTAAAAAATTTAAACTCTGTGATAGAAATTATTTTATCTACCTTGATCTAAACAACTAAACTCAATATATTTTGGAGACTTACTCTTGCTATTATTTGTCTATTTACAATTTCTCATGTTAGCCAAACTTTAAATAACTCACCCATTTAACTTACCTAATTCTTCTATATATCCAATTATAGAACGCAATAATTGGTACCCCTGATTAGTGCATCCATAGAGATAAAAATTATATCTTACTCCTGGCTGAAATTGATCTGTAGAATGAACAAAACCAGTGGACCTTCATAAGTATATACAGGCACATAAGAATATTTATTTTAGAAGCATTAAGAGGTATAACATGCTAAAACTGTCAAATTTAACTGCAAATGGATATATTATAAAAACGTACTGGTACTTTTTAAGATAAAGTTGATAAAAATTTAGGAGTATTAAGCAAAACTTGAACACCTCCACTTCTATACTAATGAAAAGCTTCTCGCTCACCGGGTGACACTGAAAAGAAAGATGACTGAGGCTGACACCCTGCTCCTGCCTCGCAGAGGCCATCCAGTCAGTTCACAGTGCTACTGCATGGTCACAGTGCCTTAACAAATGCTTTTGCTTTCCTATCGCAAGACATGACATCGCTCCCCTGGTCCCAAAGATGGAAAAACTCCACTCTAGCTCAAAGCTTCAGGAAAAAGGAACCAGGCTTTGGAATCTGCTTCTCTTCCTAACACTCACTGAGCAAGGCACAGAAGGAAGTATCTTTACTTTACTTAAAAATTATTGTTTTAGGTTAGCACATGAAGTAAGTCATCATGGCATCTTCACACGTTTGTCCTTACCCTTGGGTCTCTTGTCCCACCTTCCCTTCTGTGCACCCCACCCTCTTCTAGTTGATTCTCTTTCTTCAGCTCATAAAGTGCCTTTTAATGTACTAATAGTTACACACCTCAATGAAACATGCGAGACATGAGAAACACAGAAATGCACAGAGCCAACTTCCCAACACTGAGAAGCTGGCAAGCACAGGGAAGACACAAGCACAAGAGTAACCACAATTCTCATGTGTGGGATCTTAAGGGAAATACTCATCAAGTCCACGAAGACCGGAACAAGAGGATGGTGGAAAGCAGTCAAGAGGCTCGCCTTGGCATAAGATAATGCCTTAATAAAGTTTATCAATGAAGGAGGCATCGGTTCACAACCATTCCAGTGTGGTTAATTCAATGGTTTCTTAAATCGAATGCCCAAAGAACACCTAAACTCCACAGGTCACTGTGAGATCGTTGACCTCAAAACTGCATGCTCTAAAGGAGAACGGAAGTTTTGTGTCTATTTAACTTTTCTCCCGACACTATTTTTTCTAAAGTGTTTGCTATGTGCTATGTGTTTCCAAGTACTAAGTAAATATTGATGGAAAGTTCAACTCCACCAAGTGCATTCCAATTTGTGCCTCTCTTCATTGCTCATTGCAGGAAAGGTATACGTGACGTTACAGTTTTGTACTGCAGGTAAACCCATACCTCGTCTTAGGGTAAAATTATGTATTATCAATATTGAATAGAGTATGCCACTTAAAAGGGACTGGTGCGTGATGCAGATATCATAAAAGGGAGTGGAGAGTTGAAGGAGAGGAAGCAGCATAAGGAGGAGGAGAGAAGGGTTCAGCCCAGAAGCTCAGCAGGAAGTAAAAGCCAAGTGTGCTATCCAGCCTTTTGAAGCTCTGAGCAGTGCTTCAATTGAATTCTGAGACCATTGAACCTCAACTGTGCGACCCAGAGCATTTTCCCAAGAAGTCTGTGCCTTTGTCCTCTCAGCCACTGGATAGTGGCAGCTATCACAGCAACTTCTCTGCATCCTCAGGGACTTTAGCCACGATTTGTTCTTCCAGAAACACTGCCTACATTGCCCGGTGCCAGTGTACCTCACTTCTTCTGAAATCCCAGGAGGGAAAGGAGAGATCAGAGGTTCAGTGTGAGGCTTAGTCAAGCCAGTCCCACAGGAGAGGAATTGAGGACAGGTGCAGAGACGAGAAGGATGGAGGGTAGAGGGTGGCCAGAGGAGAAAGGAAGGAACTCAGAAGGCCACCACGACTTTAGTCAACTGCACAAGTGCCCAAGCAAAGGGAAAATATCTGAACTCATATATGGTTAATCAATGAGGGGAATCCTTCACCCTTTGATAGTGTTTCCAAACAGTAACCAAGCAGAACCTGTCTTAGGGGCAGCAGCAACTGGGGGCCTTTACTCTCCAGTTTGCTTCACCATCACAGGAGCTGATGTCTCAAGAAGTATCATGACCTACAGACCCACGACTGGCCCTACAGGTGTAGGCACACACTGGTTCAGCAGAAGGCATTGCAGCACTGCAGGGAAGGAGGCTTCTGCTTCAAAAGGAGAAGCAGGGTTAGTCTGTGGGATCCAAGCCTCCCTGGTGCCACACTTCTCAGGCTGCACCTATCAAGGGTGGCTCATGTCACCAGCAATGAGGTGCTCAATGAGGCAGCTGGACCTACTCCATACCCTCTGTCCCCGTATTAGGAAAGTGTTGAGGCTAGGCCTCAACAACCCGGGTCCTGGACAAACTAAGGCAAAGGGGCACAGACTCTGTTGTCTTCTTTGTTTGGAAGTATTTTGTGTTGTTTCATATTTGACATGACTATTATTCGTACTGATCTATTTCATCAACAGACCACCATTATTTATTCCAGTATCTGCTATTTATCTCTAATTTTCAGATTATAAACAGCACTATCAAGAGCACTTTCAGAGCTGGGTATGGTAGAGCACACTTTTGATTTCAGCAGGAACAGCAGGTGACCTCTGAGTTTGAGGCCCTACCTCAAGAAACAAAAAACACAATTTACTCAAATGCAACTCTATGCTGCTCTTTGATGACCTATTAGAGTCAATTCCTGAACAAGTAAAACCCAACTCCAAGGGTTAGTCTTTGCCACAAGCTACATTGAATTAAGTGAAAGCAGGTCATGCCTGCCCATGGCATCTAGTCACATCTGTGTGGCTTTTCAATGTCCCTTCCCTACCCCCCCCCCTGCCCGCATTGAAGGCCTTGGAGAGCCATGAATTCTTCTTACCAGATTCTATTATGGTCTCGGTGCTGTTTGAAGGAACCTTTATCCAGTCCATGAGGCAGGGCTCAGAATGAGAGGAGTTGCACCATTTAATTACATAGTCGCAGGTCATGTTGGGGTCGGCATGCCAGGAGAGGAAGATGCTTTTTCCCATTCCAACGGCTTGCTCTACTATGATGTCATCTTCAGCAAGAAAAGGACATTTTATCAGCAATCAGAGAAATACCAGAAGACAAGCCTCAAGAAAATGGACAGCAGTTACAAAAATTATTTCACTGTAGATGAATTCTAAAGTAGTGGTTGAACTAGGTAACAATGTTTAGCAAAGAAGCATTGCAGTGTTAGCCTTATTGGAATGGCTATAGAGTTTACCTTTATCCAGAAAATAAGTTGCAAAGAAGCTGAGGAGAGAACAGAGAATCTTCTAGAACCAGGTAGACATACTGGGGGCTAGGCTGGCACTGGGATGAGGACCACAGCATGGCTCTGTGGAGTAAGGGAATAAGGCAGGAGGCTGGGCCAGGAGACAATTAACTCTTGCTCTCATCATCCATGTTGAACAGAGCTCCATGGGAAAAAGAGTCACACAGAGCATATGGACGGAGCACCCGGAAACGGAAGAGCTGACCATCTGCTTTCCAGGACTCATGCATCCCAACCCAAACGTTGGGCTGGGGGAGACCCTTGAGGGGCAGTGCAGAGAGAGGAGAATAGTGATACAGCAAAGCCATGAAATGGGATGACCACTGTGGACAGGGACATTTTCCAGAGGCCATGAGATACTGGGGGTTGGGGTGGGGTGTGAGGACAGGCACTGTGGCTGTGGGGAGTTAATTTCTTTCCAGCTGGACCTGGGCCTAAGGGATAAGTGAGGATGGAGGTAAGGTGTGAGGGACCAGAGTGGAGGGCAGCAGAGTACAGCCAAGAAAGGGGGTAGAGTGTCCCATAGGGGGACACACACACACAAAAAAAAATGACTTCTCCTCCAACTAATCTATATTTAAGGGTTTGGTTTTTAAAAAGTCCACATATAGGAAGTTTCCCCAAATAAATGTATGTTCATAAAGTAGCTACCCCTGAACACTAGACAAACCCCTGGTTTAGAATACAGAAGGGTTTGGATATAAGACAGCTTTCTGGCTCCATGTGCTTACAAAGCCACAATGTAAATGTGAGCTGAGGCTGTGTAGCCTGACCCTGGCAGCCAGACTTGTGGGCTGCCAGATGGAAATGTTCAAGCTGTGACCAGTTAGATTGGTAAACCACCTTCTCAAGGGCACACAAATAGGTAAAGTCGTCAGAATGCTCCAGTTAGAGACCGCACAGTAACTAAAGACAACACAATGCAACTGCAGGCTGCAAAGGGACCGGGTACAAACGAGGGGTGGCTGGATGCCTTGTTCTGACCCCTGCTTTCCTGCACATGCCACAGCATCCACTGCCCAGGTTTAGGGCTATGTTGCGGTAGGGGCATGGCTGAGTCTTTGAAACAATCCTGCTATACATTCCTGCTTCATAATTCTCTGTGGTCACTGCCTAGGACAAATCAACAAACCAGGCCAGCACCAAGAAACCACCTCAACCAAGCGCTGAGAGACATTTGCAGGATCTAACCGGACTGTTTTCCTTCCTGTCAGAGTGGCCTCATAAAAAGCGGTCCCCATACTGGTGAAGGACAGCAAAAGAGCATAGGAAGGAACTGAAAACTGGCCAGCTTTGACTGAGGGAAGAGGAAGGCTGAGGGGTGGGGGGTGGGGGGTGGGGAGCTGGTAAAGGTCACCAGAGGGTAAACATGATTCAAATGTGTTATGTCTATATATGTGTGGAATATCAAGTTCAAACGCACTACTTTGTGCACTTAATATATACTACAGTAACTCCATGTGAGAGCGGAAAAGAACATGGCAATTCACGGCAATCTGGGTACAATTTAGAAGAAACACCGAAATTTTAAAATTACATTATGTGGATTTTTGGTTTTCAAAACCAAAGATCAAATGATCTACTTTAGACTTCAGAAACTTTTTTATTAATATGAAGAATGACAATGCTGGGTTTGGAGGCTGGCGAATCGCGAGTTCAAGGTCATCCTTAGCTACATAGCAAGCTCCAGGCCAGCCTAGACTATTCAAGACCTTACTTATAAAGAAAACTATAAGCAATGATGACGATGACAACAACAACAACAACAACAAAACCACAAGGAAAACAATTATCAATTTACCACAAAGCTGCCAATCAAAACAAGTGTCTTTTCCCCAGCCCAACAGGCTGCAAAAACAGACTGGCAACAGAAACCCTTAGTCTTGGAAAGATATTTTTAAATGGTCTTTGACCAAACAGTTAAAGTATTTCTTCCCAAGATTACTATCTGCAACCAGACCTTTCCATGCTCTATGATAAAGTAATTAGACACAGTAATTATTATCTTTCACACGTTTATAGGCTTCAAGTCAATACTGAGGACACCCTCCCAGTGTCCTGAGGTAAGAGACTGGGGCAGGAGACTGCCTTGTTCAAGTCCCAGCCTGGTTATCTAGTGTGTTTGAGGCTAACCTGAACCATAGAGCAAAACATACTGCTGTGTACATCCCTCAATGAGCAGTAGACATGTATGTGCTTGCCCCTTCCTATGCATAATATGCAAATAGCGTGGGAGGGGCGGGTTATAGGAGGAAAGCAACACCAAGGGTTTCCATTCCCCCACCAGCTCCTGTAAGTTCTCCCAGGCACTCACCATTTGGGATTTCCGTACTAGCTATTTTAGAAGGTGGTGATGAGCCAGCAGAATTTTTTGCCACCACACTGATGATGTAGTCATTTCTTTCAAGCTGTATCTCTGCTTTGTGTTGAGGATCAAGGATCTCAGAAAGTGACTGTGTCTCCTCATTTGATGTACAGGATATATTGTAGGAAAGTATTTTCCCATTAGCTTCATTAATGGGTAAAGGCTAAGAAAAACAGAAAAAAAAAAATTCTGTCTTTAAAATGTGCAAAAGTTACAAGGCCCTGGGCAAAGGCCATCAGGAGGGAACTGGGGATAAGTTCTCAGTACAAGTGACAATAAAATATGAAGCTATCCGTAGTGTGAAACTCAAATTTTAAAATCCACTGAGAGCATAGTTAAAAAAAAAAAAAAAACATGAAATACTAAAAAACCACATTTGTTGTTAAGTATGAAAGTCTACAGGAATTTAAATGTGAAGAAATATAAAATTGTTTATTTTTATAGTTTCCAGAAGCAAACATGTAAGACTGATCTACTAGAGGAAACAAAGCAGTATGGCATAGTGTCCTAGCATACTTAATCTTTTCTCCATTTACATACTACATGACTGCTACAAAAACACCAGGAAATACACAAAAACTGAAAGAAGGGCTGGCAAGATGGCTCAGCAGGAAAGGGTTCTTGCCGCCAAGCCTGAAGACCTAAGTTCAATCCCTGGGACCCACAAGGTAGAAGAAACAATTCCCACAAGTTCTCTTTGGAACTCTCCACACACAGGCTTCACATGATCAATGCAGGGAGCTTAAGACTGAGGCAAGTACCCTTTCAGTGCCTGGGGAATAAGGAGTGATGAGAAATACAGGCTGGGAGATGGTAAACTTAGCCAGTCTGGGAAGCCTCGGCTCCTTGTATACATTTCAATGCTTTGTATTTCATGAACCATTTACCAGTACAGTTGAATACTACATAAACAAGTAAAATTTAAAGTATCCACAGAAGCCAGTTTACCATTTGTACATTAAGCATTTGAGCAAAAATACAAAAACAAAAACAAAAAATTGGCTAGGATGCATTCATATATTTCAACTCAAAACGAGACAAATACAAATTCCTCTTTGAAGGTGAAGAAAACCAGAGAAAGCGTATACATACTAATAGATAGTATTACAACAGATGACAGAAGAGAATATTCCAGACAGCAAATATTGGTGTGCACTGGCTGGAAAAATGTCAGGGGACTCAAAACAAAATGGACACATTAAAGGAATAGGGATTTTTTTTTTTTTTTTTTTTTTTTTTTTTGAGACAGGTCTCATGTTGCCCAGGCTGGCCTCAAACACACTACATAGTCGAGAGGGACCTCACATTGATCCTTCCATTTATACTTCTCAAGTGCTGAGACGATGTGAGTGCCATAATAGAGTTTAATTGGAAAAAATAAAATAAAATTAAGCATCCAATGACACAATAGATATTTACCTTCCAATAGATTATTAAGTTTTTTCCATCAGAGCTCCACTCTCTCCATGTATCTGGTCCCCGTGAAGGAACTAGGAAAGAGATTTACAACGCTGAATTTGAAGACACAAACTGCAGGGCTGTGGACAGTATTGGTGACTAATGAGGGTGCTTGGAACTTCATTCTAGGGCATCTAGAATTATCCATAAAATGTGGCTTCCATTTATAAAGTGAAGCAACAGAGAAGTTCTACATGAAGCTAAGCTCTCAACCTCTACAGAACACAGGGCCCAGAAAATGGGTTAAAATCACACTGGTGGCCATGTAGCTGTCCCCAGGCAGCTCTGGCTCACATCCTCCTATCTCCCCATCTGTAATGAGCCGTGGCATCACCTAACTTACTGGCTTCTGTGGTTAAATGTCTCTTTTCATTGCTCCACTTGCTCCATTTCCAGAAAGTCTCAGTAGAACAACGGACCCGAAAAGTATATAGAGTGTATGGGGTTAATTTGTCCACAGCAACAAGGTAACTCGACTCCTGGGCTCCTTTGACAGTGGCATTCCGCTATTTGAAAACAAGTAAATACATATATGATGCGTGTTTGTATATGCCACACATGTGTAATACATAATATGTCCACACACATTATACTTTTTGGTATAAAATCAGTCTACACTTGTAACATAAACCAACCAAATGTCACACCAGTTTGCAATTATAGTGTTTTAATTTTTACGAAATACTATGTCAATAGAATTATCCACAGTGAATGAAAGTGAGGATATGGCCGTTCCTAGGTACCAGGGGAGCACAGCCAGGCCGGAGAGTCCCACCATGGGGTCAAAAGAGGAAGAGAAAAGATAGGGGACAAAGAGAGCACATGGGAGCCCAGACAGCATGCAGCCAAAAGGGCTAGGTTACATGGAATAAGAGGAGCTGGGGGAGGGAAGCAAAGCTCAGGGCTGGAGAGGCTTAGGGGAGGGAGTGGGGTATGCCAGCCAGGATGACTCTGTAACTGACATTTTCGAGTGGGGCCTGAGTGGAGTCTAGAGGCTGGCATAGATCTTGATGTGCTAACATGCTCCGCAGGCACAGGTTAATGGAGGAGCCATACATCCCTAAGCAGGAACCAGCTTTAAAGTTGCCAAGAGAATACTTACTGGCTTTTGTCTAAATGACAAGAAATTTCTTGGGACCTAACACATAATAGCCAATAAAATAATGGGATGCATTTTTAATCTAATTATTAAATCTTAATAATAAAGGTCAGTTAAATTATATAGATATTATTTTTGATAATCAATACTGGATGCTAGAAGTCATCCTGGAGGCAAATGGTATGGTTTATGTGTGTGTATATGTCACCTAGGGCCTCTAGTACATTACTGAACATGTAGCAAAAAGACAAAATACCAAAAACAACAACAACAACAACAAAAAATAACCCCGAAAACAAATAACATTAAAATGAAGCAATTTTACACAAATCTGAATATGAATCTGCCAGGAAAATCTCTGAACTCTCAGTTGCTTTATTACAAAGTGGTTTTGCAGGTCAAACTGTGCACTTCTGAATGCTTTTACAGAAACCAATGAATTTCCAAATTAATATTCAAGTGCAGTACCATTTTTTTCAGAGTCAACCACAAATTATAAAAGGGTACAGGACAAGTCAACCTAATTATTTTGATTGTATTAAAAAGTCCTGTTTTGACTTATAATTACCAATTACTACTTGCTTCCACCGATGCACTTAATAATTTAAAATTCCCTTCTACTCTCTTGTACCAGTTAGTCAAAGGCTACAGTCAAAGCTAATTCTTAATCTCAAAACTTATTGCATACCAGCTACATGCAGGCATTATACACTAAGCCAGAGAGCATTCTGAACAGCACAAGCTGAAGTTAATTATATTCTTTACTTTCCAATTTTATAATTGTTTCAAATGCAAATTACAATGTTGCCATTATTTTTGTATGTAAGATCTTTCTTGGTTTAGTAAATCTCTGTAACACATATTTTGTTTAATTATTCTTTGAAACTGTGTATTTAATTTACAATAACCAAAAGGAAAGTTTTCAGGAGAATTTTACTTACCACTTCTTGTTCAGAACTAGCTTTACAAATTTCAATTTCACATAAGAGATTAATCTTTGCAAAATTTCCTGGCAAATGCCAGGCAAGAGAGACAACTGTGGAATTGATGTCCTTCACTCTCAAGGAGACAGGTACATGAGGAGCAACTGTAAAACAGAATTACAAAGATTGGGGCCTTCAAATGCTTATGGTGAAAAAGTTTCCCCTAGTAAGACAAACCAGAACCAAAGTATGTGTGTATGTGCTTGGGGAAGAAGAGTAACGAGGTACGATTAATGCCAAAAATCAATACCATCTGTGTGGAAGCCATGAACCTTATTTTTAATCTTGATTATCATACCAATGCTCACAAAGAACCAGCTGTGCTCAAGGTTGTTGTTCATCTGGTGCTGAGAATACGAGGTGGCAGGAAGATCAAAGTTTAACAGACTTGTACACAGAGAATGACAAATACACAGAGTGACTGACATCCATCTGTCCCAGGTATGTGTGTGGCATTGATGCTGACTGCTACAGGACTGCAGTGTGGCTCAGGATGGGGGGAGGCTAACAGGGGCTGTGAACTCTGAGGAGGGAAGGAGGAACCATACACAGGGAAGACAGTGAAAAACCGAATGCAAGCAATATCTTCAGCTACAAAACATCGCCTTTTGACTCTAGGATGAAACAGGAAATAATTACTAAAACGTGTGTTTTTAGCCCTTTCTTCCTCGAGTTTCTGTGAGGTCTGAGGATGTGGGTGAGCCTGGCAGGAAGTTATATTTGAGCTGATAGGACAACCACAAAAATACTACACATATCTTATTTCTATTCTGAGCTATGTATTATTATTGGCCAAAAAAAAAAAAAAATCAGAAATCACTGGTATAGAAAGAAGTTAATAACTAGTAACAAGCAAAATGAATGTCTCCTAGGGATATTATCCTAAGAAATACCAGTCTCAAATGGTTACACACTGTGAAGTTTCATTTATAGTATACTCAAAATGACAAAACGGGGATGAAGAAGAGGTAGCTGGTGCCATTTGACACAGAGACAGAAACAGAGACAGAGTGAGAGGGCGTATCTGTGCACAGACACAGGTAACCACCACCAGTCTGAGGGAACCCCCCTGCGTTGTCCCTTCAGCATTTTGAACACACTCTGGTGAATGCACATAGAACAGAGCAAAGAGAATCATCTAGGTTAGTAGACTAGAGAATGATATGCACTGGTCACTGGTTTTATTGTCATCACTGGAGAAAGACAGAAGTATTAAAGTTGTAATCCATTATTTTTGCAATAACTTCTGAGTCAGGAAAATATTTCAAAGTAAATATTCTCAAGAACTGTTCAAAAACATGCTCAGAAATCAAGAATGACTAGACAAAGCTATGTACAGTTGCCATCTAAGTGACTCAAATTTTTATTTCAACTCAAAATAACTAGCAAATTTGAAGTTGTTTGTTTTAATATTTTAAAATAAAAATTATAAAAATTAATTAGTTATAAACCTGAAAAAAAACTCCAAAGAAAATAACCAATGTATACTAATCCCTATAGTCACCTTTCATGAGTCCCAAGGCATGTCACGTGTTATTTTTATTGTGGTTATTTATAGACACTGGCTGGCAACCGCGGCTCACCTCGTTCAGTTATGTTGATGAAAACTGCTGATTCTGCGTGTCCCAGTGGATTGCGACCAGTCAGGGTGAAGTTATGAATTTCTTGGCCCGGAAGCATTTGGAAGGCTAAACGGTAGCTTTCATTTGTAAGAGTTTCAAACCTTTTAAATGTGACGGATTTTCCCGAAATGCTGTCAGTTACAAAGGAAATTAATTTTAGGATAGTAAGATTAAATATTGTGAAGGGGAAAAACATGGGGAAAAACATCATTCTAAAAACTTAGTTCCTTATTACAGACTGATCACAAACCCAAGACAACAGTGTGTGATACAGAAAATTGCCGGGCATAAGCCACCACCTAGACAGACTTTATCTGGGGCCCTTCCTGGTGGGCTTCAGACTGAGGAGGCATGGAACTGCACCTGCCCACACAGCGTGTGCACTGGCATGACAGTAGGGTAGCAGCCCGAGCCCGTGTCACTCAACCGGTCCTCCCAAGGTTCTGGCCACCAACACTATCCTGGTTACCGTTACCTTTCAGATAGAGTGTAATCTGTATTCCGTGGGCCCACCAGTCCTGTTGGCCTTCCTGGATTCCAACTACATATAACCTCTTTGAAATCATGTGTCTCACAATTCAGTTTCTGAGGAACATCGGGTGGATCTACAAGGAAAAAGGAAGACAAAGGAATTACATATATTCTCCCCCCAAACTGCATAACTCCCTTAAAATAATTTGCTGCTTATACATTTCCTTCTTTAAAAGGGGCAGCAATTATCACTGTTTCAGCAAGATGTGTTGTTGCAGTTTGTATTGTACCAGAAATAGTGGATTAAAACATTCTAGAGGATGACTCTTAACTCAGCGCCTATATAAACTCCCAAGAGCAACTTGAGAAATGAATTAAATTTCTTTTTCCTTAAACTTTTCTTCAAAGCCTTTCAAGCTAAGTCATCAGAATCTACAGTTTGGAACTACTATCATGTCCCATCTATTTACACATTGTGATTGAGGAAGGAGTATCGAGCATGCTAAACGTTGAGGCAGATGCTCACAGAAACTATTTGCTCTGCCTGTACTTTGGGGCCTAGGAAAAAGGAAAGGTCGATTCTGGGGGAAGGTGTAAACACTTTAAAGGGATGTCTAAAGATGCCACAGTTTGGCACTTCATTAAAGAAACTGATCTCAATAATCATGTATAACCAAACACAAATAGACACTAATGCTGCATTTATACAAATAGTTTTCATTTTCTGTGAAAGTTAAAAATTATTTATCTGCCTGTTGAAATACTACATAAAAGTAATTTTGTTTTTGAAGGAACTGAATTTTTCAGATACAACCTCGTTGTCAACCAAAATACAAATATTTCTATACTCATCTGAGAGATCCCAGTAATGTTTCAAATTTCTTATTTACTAATATTCCATGTATGCATGGTGTATGAGGCATGTGTACCATGGAGTATATGTGGAGGTCAGACGATGGTTGAGTGGAGTTGCCACTCTCCTTCTATCTTCATGTGTGTTCCAAGGACTATAGTCAAGTCACAGGATTGTGTGGCAAGTGTCCTTACTTGCTGAGATTTCACGGGCTTCTCCAATGATGTTTTAGCTAATACTGAGGATGATTAGTGAATGTTTTACAATTATGCAATTAAGTAAACATTGGTTTGCTTATTTTGAAAGTCATCTTAAACCTAAGGCAAAATTACCCACCACTTTATTAAAATTACATGCTACAAATCTGGAACATATTCATAGTGATGATTATTTTAGGATGTTGAGTATGCACATTAAAGTAATCTGTTTAAAGTCAAAATAATAAGAATAAATTAAAAAGCAAGAAAGTGACAAGAGAAAAAAATGAGAGGACAATGTTTGAAATGTACTGATTTTCTTAACAAACAAATTAACTTATCAAAGGATTAAATCGAAGTTAGGTAAATCTAGATACAAATCACCCATTTTTAGTACTCCAGCAAACATAAAATACAATTTTTAAAAACACTATTCAGTGACACCATGGTGGCATGCACCTTCAATCCCACCCTCTAGTAGCTACAGGCTGATCTCTGTGAAGTTCAAGGCCAGCCTGGATGACCCAGAATTCCAGGCCAACCAGGGATACATAATGAGACCATGTCTCCAAAACCAAAACTAAAGTAACACAAAGAATCACCAAGTAGCTAGAAATAAATTCAACCAAAGATATCCAAGACACTGTACTGCTACAATAGTTCACTAAGTGATTAAAAAAAAAAAATCACTAGAACAGAGTAAAGAGGAATAATAAAATCCACTCAACTCTCTCACATACCTTTAATCACGAGACCTAGAGATGAAACTCAAAACTTATAAATTCACAGTACCAGAGACAATGGCATCATTGCCCCAGGCAGCGCCATATATGAGGAGGCAGAAAGTTCAAGGTCAAAACTAAAAATCCTAAGCACAGAATTTTCGGAGGACAAACTGCATGGGCAGAGCAGCCTGCTACCCCAACATCAAGACACACTGTAGGCTGCAGGAGTGGTCAATCACATTAACAAAGGTGATTGCTCCCTGAGCAAGGGCACACCATCACAAACAGACTACATGAAGAATAATAAGGCTTCTAGCCCTTCCTCATCCTGCTGTCCTCAAACACGCTACTTTGAGTGTTGGGAAAGACACAGCATGCCACCAAAATCACCATAGTATTTAAACATAGTACTTAAGAGTTTACATTAGTTAAATTGGAAACTAATGTGAATGAAATTACTCCTAAGCTATGTCCAATTAAGAAATACTGCACATACTAAAGACTTTGAATCAACTATGAAGTTAGGAATTTAAACTAAACCTCAGTTGCTAGATGTCTCAACCTTATTATGAAACTTAGAACTCATATAGAAATAGGTATGCAGGAAATAAGATCCAGGCTCCTACACAAGCTTTCTAGAGCCTTTGTATAGTATTAGTACCAATGAAAAGGAAATAAGGAAAAAACAGAATCAGCTAGCAGAAAAGAAATTAAGGCTAGAAGGGGACCAACACAGGCTAAGAGGAACTATTTGACATGATATACTTACAGCCTGCAAAGACAACTGTTCCATACACATTATCTTCTGTTGTGAAAACCACGTTTGTTCCACTGTTTTCAGAAACGGAAATATTCTGGATACGGATTGCAACGTTTTCCCCATAAAGATGGATAAGAGGACAAAATGTCTTGCCAATCTGTCCTGAGAGCACTTTTGTTTGACTTATACAACAAAATGTTATGTCTGAGCCTGCAAGAATCACTTTGTCTTGAGGGAAAACATTGGTCTCAGAATTAGGAGTCCCTAGAAAGAAATGAGAGATTGCAAACATTACAGACATCTTTTACACAAAACCATCTCCTTAGAACATCTTCTTTTCTGCCTCCTAGGATTTTTATTTTCATCTATTTACTTACTTATTTTTGTCTATTTTTGTAGGTATATATAGTATGTGTGTTTCATATAGGAGTGGGTATGTGTGGAGACCAAAAGTTGACATGAAGTATCTTTTTTAATGTTTCTCCACTTTATTTTTTGAGATAGGGGCTCCCACTGAACCTGAACCTCATTGACTAAGCTAGACTAAAGAAAAAGTTCCAGTGATTTGTTTATACCCACCCTTGGAGAACCAGGGTTGCAAATGTTAACCATGCCCAGCTTTATAGCAGGTGCTGGGGATCCACACTTGGGGCACAGAACTGCTTGAGTGGCAGGCACTTTACCAACAGAGACCCTTAATTTTATTATTTTGAAACAAGGTATTATTCGTAGCTCAGGTATTATTCGTAGCTTGGAATTCACCATGGAACCAAGGCTAGCCTAAAGCTTGCAGCAATCCTATCCCTTGAATGCTGGGATAATAGGCATAAGCTACAACACTTAACTCCTAAAAATGAGCTTAAACTAGTTCAGTATCCACAAAACATACTGTAGATGTGAAATAACACAGGCCTCTCAGGTTTTAAAGGAGCAACACACACACAAGAAATGAAACTGTGGCCTTATTCCTGTACCCAGGGACAGAGCCTTATTTCTGTACCCAGGGACAGAAATGGACCACAGGTCAATGTTGATGGTCACAGGTTAATGCTTGCACAGCAAAATATCACTCAATATGTAAGTTTATTTCTTTGAAACTATCCTGTGTTTTTGGAGTGGATTTACTTCTCATCAGACAACAAGTGGGAAGAACTCCATAGCCTAACTAGCAGCTGGCTCTTTAATCACAACTCTGCAGGTTAAGGTCACCAACCCCAGCTCCACGCCCAACAGCTGACTTTTATACAGTGAACTCTGGTCACCTTTCTATCCCTCACTCTTTCCTGCCATCTGGCTTCTACCTCCACTAATCTACTGAAGTGAATCACTGGCCCCACATTTGGTCCAAGGGCCCATTCTGATTTACCTTCCAAACCCCCTCCTCTCCTGGGTTCCTCCACAGTGAACTCTCTGGGCCACTTTTAGTCCTTAGGCTATTGTCCTTCCTTCTGTTGTCAGGACAGCTTCTAAAAAGAAGCCTCCAAGCTTCCAATTCCACTTTCCAAAGATAAACTGGCCACTAGAGTTTAAGTACTTCAAGTCATATACACATTTGTGGTTCCTGAAGGGGCATTTCCAGCTACACCCATGTCTTAGGATGCCCAGTTGATGTTTCCAACCTCTCTGCTTCAGGCTCAGCATATTGAAGATGAAATTGAGCTTTCCCACCCAACTGGTTCCTGTATTTGCCTTCTCCATCAAGGCCTCCCAGCCACCAAAGTAACAGACACTGTGGGCTCAGCTTCTCCCTCCATAAGCACCCACTCTCCAAATCAGACTCTGCCTCTCACATCACATCCCTCTTATTTCTAAACTCAGCTGTCCTGAGTTATATTTACAGTGTCTTGCTCAACTGCCACAGATTCTCCTTATTTATCCAGCTGCTTCCGCTCCTTCCTTATCTGATGTTGCTCCAGAGAGCGTCCACCTGCAATGAACACCAAACATTTTCTAGACCTCAATTGATCAGCACTGATGACCCTGGCCCCCACTCTCTGCCAGCATTTTACAAACACCTGTTAGGAGAGTTCTATTTACTAGAAAACTGGTTTTTAGCACAGCCTTCTGGAGCTAGTCTCGGACTTGAATCCACAGTTCTGGGATTCAGAAAAATAAAGAACATACACTAAGCCATACTCTTCAGCAGTCTAACTCATGAGGAACAAGAGTCTGTAAAGGTAAGCTTACAAGAAATGTTCTTCAGTAAGCTCCAGTCACTCCACACTTTATAACCAGAGAAACGATGATAGTCGATGTACCATCTAATGCCCACGGAGTAAGTAGCACACTGCAAGGGCAGCTCTGAGGCCCAATCCCAGTGGTGAACTGTATCCTGACCGTTCAGTGTTGTGTTGAATGATACCTAAAAATAAACACAAAGTTATGCTTCTGAACAGTGGTACATTCTGCCTTTCTCCAGGATAAACAAACAAACAGAAAGACCTCAAAGACTGCAATCAGCCAGAGTAATCTTATAAGGGTAAATGCTCTGCCCATTTGTACAATAGCCTGTTTTCTATAAAGCAGTGGTTCTCAACATTCCTAATGCTTCAACCCTTTAATGAAATTTCTCATGTTGTGGTGACCCCCTGCCATAGAATTACCTCCACTGCTACTTTGTAATTTGCTACTGTTATGAATTGTAATGTAAGTATCTGATATGCAGGATTGCCACACCCAGGGAAACCAGGAGCCAAGAAACCAGGGAACCAGTGACATGATGAGTTAGGAAAAGAAAGAAGAAAGGGCTCTCATCTTCCACTGGGGCACTTAATAAAACACTCCTGACAACTATAAAGAAATAGCAATGTAAGCTTGTTATTTGGAAAAATGGAGATAATTAATGGAAAGAATCGGCTAATGGAGTTAAGAGATCTCTGTAATTGAGAAAAGAGTCCTGAAATTACAGCAAGGCCCTGTCTCTACACAAATACAAGCTTGTTCCAAGGAGAGACATGGGGGAGGGGCAGTTCTGGACAGCAGCTCAGGGCCTCCCTCTGCCCATCCTCAGGTGCATGGGACATTTTCCGTGGCTGTGTACACATGTGTCTTAAATGAAACCCTGCTGCCTAGCATTCCTCTTGTCCTAGTATCCACCTGTCTTACTTTTCTTACCTGTTCCACGTCAGAGAATAAGAATAAAGTAAGTGTAAGTTATAGAAAACCATTGAAATACTGAGCTGGTGGGGGGGGGGGAGAATTACTATGTAAGACCATGTGTCAGGCTGGGAAATTAAAGCTTACTGATTTCCCAATTATTATCTTGGTTAAATGTTTTAAATACTTCATGTATAATAACAAAGATAAAATAACATCGAATAAAATAAACTGAAAGTAAGCTTTAATTTCATTTATGCAAGGGCATGTGTATTTAAAAGGCTGGGCATTTACTGTTTCTAAGTGGCAGAATCAGTTATCCCTTAATTTCTTAAACTTTCTATTACACAAGTGATTTTTAAAAAAAACTTATTTTTATTGTTTTTTTTTCAGTTATTGTTTCTGTGTATATGTAAGTGTGGGCATGTACTTGCCATAGTGCACATGGGGAGGTCAGACAACAACTTCCAGAATTCAGTTGCTTCCTCTCACCATAGTTTCCAGGGATCAGACTCGGGCATTTGGGCTGGCAAGCTCATGCTTTTACCCCTGAGCCATCCTGCCATCCCACCAATGATTTTGTAAAACCCTGTGTCATACAGGATCTACTTCTTCAATAACCCCAAACTCACGGATGCCACCTTGAAAGCTTTAAAAGCTGTGTGGTTTCTTTAGCATCATAGGGAGATGAATTTTTTGCTCCAACTTACTAATTTTACTGGTTCCATGCTCGGATTCTGTAGAACCTTGATTTCCCAGGTGGCATTGGAGGGGTATGGGAAAGCAGAACCTTTGTCATTCCACCTCAGGTGCAATGTGGAGCTTGACAAGTCAGCAGACAAACTCAAACTCGCAGGAGTATCTGGAATCAAAGCTTAAAATAGCAAAGAAAAGCAAAAACCTTTAGTCAAATAAGTAATGTAGCGTTCCCACTGTACTTCAATTTACTAGTGACTTCTAAACTTCACAAATAAGTAACAGGGCATAAACACAGAGGTTTTTATTTGTATAGGCAGCTCCCAGTGGTTGATGGGACAAACTTGAGAGAAATGTCAGCTGGCTATTTCAAAGACGTAAAGACATGACATTTCCTACTGCAGATAGTAGCAGAGTTCCCTCATTATGCTAGTGTCACCTGGTTGGGGACCTACAAGGAAGCAGTGAAAAAGTTTGCTCTTGCGGTGTGTCAGCAGGCTGAGCCTAAAAAGAAGAAGAAGGAAAAGAAAAAAAAAAAAAAAAAAAAAAAACGACAGCTGGGAAAGGACCCATGTGATCTCAGAGCTCACTTACTCCCAGCAGCCGAGCCCCTCAAATGGGGGACACCACCCACTTAAAGAATTCAAAGAGTTGCTCCAAGCTGTGGATGTCATTAAACAACAGTACAACAGTGACTGTTCTAATGGTTTTGGCACTGAGCACAGAAGCCGAAGGCTAACTATGAAGAAGGGTTGGCTTGGCAGAGCTCAGCTCAGTGTGCAGGGGCCTGAGATAGACACAAGCCAATCAGCTGGGGCAGCGCTGGAGAAATCTTGGTTAGAGCAAGAGGCTCTGGGGTGTAATGTCAAACAATGGAAAAGACAAAAATCTGCTCTGAAGAAATGACTGGATCAGGAGAATGAAGGATTCACCTTGAGGAGAAAGAAATAATGATTTCTCCCAAGAACCCCACAAGCTCTCAGGAAGCAGCAGAAAGAGAAGAGCACGAAAAGCCATGGGAAGATTCCAGCTGCTGGCTGCGGATGGCGGTGTTAGGAAGGAGAGAGGTGGGCAGAGTGTTCTGCAGCCTGCTCTGTGAGAATCACCAGCTGAACCAATGTGTGGAGCCCAGAGGAGCTTACAGTGTGGGATGGAAAAAAAGGAATGTGCACACAGATATAACGGCTGCAACAAATGACTACACCTTCCAGGAGCGGGTCACACCAGCAAGAATCCAGAGATGGAAAGAGCTCAGAGTTGAAGGGAAATATAAACTGCAGGACCACGGAGCAGGTGTCAAGTAGTCCAAATAAGACAGAGTTCAGGAGGAGGAAGGAGAGTACACAGACAGGGGTAAGAGGATGCTTCTTCTGTATGTTAGTTGCTTTTCTGCTGCTGTGTGAAAACACTATGGCCAAGGCAACCCACAGAAGGAAGAGTTCATCCAGGCTTACATTACTAGGTTTGGGAAGGCTGAGGCTCTGACACTGAATTATAGAAAGTAAAAGATAAACCCTGCTCAAGATCTTGGACACGTGTAGATGCTGATTACTGAGAGGAGGTAACAGGAAAAGCAATGCTTATGTCTTCAAAAGTCCCTGCCCACAGGGGATGACCAAAAGCCTCAGATCAGCGGTGAACAGGTACTCATGTGACATCATGTATGGAATATGCGTTCACCAGTGGCAGAGACAGAGCTACAGATGTTCTTGCAAGATTCTCCCTCAAATGTTAGGCATGTGAGGATAAGTTAGAGGAAGCCCGGAAACAGGCTCTTTCTTTTCTCACTTCTAGTCATTTCTTATGAAATTCAAGGGCTACTAAATAAAGTCATGGCGAGTGAGAAACCACAGGAGTAAATGTTCAGGGCAAGTGGGCTGGCCATCAAATACAAGAAAATGGCAGAATAAATCATTATTCATTTGTCAGTCTTGGAACCTAAAAATAAGTCTATAATATTTGGTTTTACTAATATTTGCTGAACACAGTGTTTTACGCCAGACTTAATATTTAGAGCTGCATATGATCTGGAGCGTGTGGATTTAAAGTCTGAGTTCTGTAACAAAGTCGGCTCTACAGGGGCATGGAGCAGGCTTCACAGAGAACCCTGAGTGGAAACTGCATGAGAAAGCAAGTGCATGAGTAAATGAGAAGCACAAAGTGGATCTGGTGTCAAGAGGGGGCTGGTTCAGGTGCCAGCGGCACTCAAGGGTGAGTCAAAATTTCAGTGTGGTAACTTAAACATGATGAAACCAGAATCCTGAACTGTAGCAATGCTGACCCATGAAGGATGCCTCCTTTCTACAACTAACACCAAAGGTCTTTTGATGAGCCATACAGAAACCTGCTATTGTAGAAGCTACCTAAAATGCATACACATTTGAACAGAATTTAAATGACGTCACCATATAATGGTGGAGACAATGCCCCAACTAGACATATTGTGCCAAAAAGTAAAATTTCCAATGCTAGAAATGGGTTATATCTTACTGAGTCATTGGCCAAAGAAGTTCCACACCATCACCCCAAACATCACATCCTATTGCCAACTCTACTGGTTACTCTCAATAACCGGATAGTAGGGCCCTATTGCTGAAGACACAACTTCCTTATGACATTGAACATGGTGAAATTGAGCTGTACCCAATTAGAAGCATCACACCTACTGGAAGCTACCTTTGCATACTACTGGAAGAGAAAAGTAATTATATATTTCCAAATACAGGACCCATGACATACAGCAGCAAGCTGCCTGCACAACAGGCTGGAGCACTAGTGGCATGAATGCTATGGGAGTCACCAACCACATTTTGATGGGAATTTGAAGGCTCACTCCATGAGATGGAACCAATATATGGTATTCTAAGTGGCAAAGAACCTGAGAATAGACACGCCATAAGACCTAGGGAAAAACCTCTACTCTTATCCTACTATGGATCATAGCAATAGCATGACTTATTGCTATACCCACAGATCAGAGCATTGCTTAATGCTCACTGGAGAAGCTTCTTGCAGTAGATAGTAATTAGCACAGAGACCCACAACTGGACAATCTTCAAAGAGTGAGAAGTTTAGGAGCACTCAGTCTTAAACGGGGTGTCTATCAAACCCCTCCCCACCAGGATTAGGGATCTATGTAAAAGAGGCAGAAAGACTGTAAGAACCAGAGGTGGTAGAGTGACTTGAATAAAACACTATCTTCCATACATAACAGGACGAAGCATGTATGAACTCGCAGAGACTGTGGCTGGATGCATGAGACCTGCACAGGCTCAACCAGACAGGGTCCCAGCACAGAGAAGGGGAAGAGAACACAAAGTCCCAGCCGTAATCAAGAAGCTATTTGCAATTGATATTGGATAGGAAAGGGGAAACCAATGGAGTGTCACTGGGCCAGGAACAGTTGTCCAGAACAGAATGGACTCCATGTCTTTTGTGTGCTTGGGGGGAGGGGTCGCTTGTTTTTGTCTTGATTTCTTTTTTGTTTGTTTGTTTGATTTTTGTTTGAGAGAGAGAGAGAAAAAAGCAAATGTGAATTTGGGTGAGTAGGGAGGTGGGAGTCTGGAAGGACCTTGGGGGAGAGGAAAGGTAATCAATTGAAAAGTATTTTCAAATAAAACATTTAAATATGCAAAGCCAAAAGAAGAAAGAGAGAGGGGAGAGGGAGAGAGAGAAGAAGAAGAAGGAGAAGAAAAGATCCTTCCTTGCCTGAGAAATCCATGTAATTTACTTTTTAGCAGTTGGGTGACTGAAAAACACAGGTCACCATCGCTATTTCCACTGAGAGACAGTGAAGGCCATGATTACAAATGAAAGGATTTAAGAGACAAAATCCCACTCTTCCTTCTCTTGTCTCATCATAGCAGAGCAAGCTGCCCAGGGGCCCCATGAACTGCAGTCTGCCTGTCTTTAGGGCTAAAACAGACATCTGAGAATAATTTTAACTTGCTCTCTAGAAACTCTGAATTGTCCACATAGAAAGGAATTTAAATTGACAGAATGACACAGCTAGCAACCATACACACACACTCACACAGACAGACAGGCAGGCAAACAGACAGACAGACAGACACACAGAAACACAGACACACACACACACACACAGACACACACACACACACACCTGCACCCGTGTGCAGGTCAGAGGACAGCTTGGGAATCTATTTTCTTCTTCCACCTTTAGGTGACCTCTGGAGACTGAACTCAAATAGTCAGGTCTGCATGGCAAGTGCTTTTCCTCCTTCAGCCAGCGATCAGGAAAGACTGTGTGTGAAAGGCCTTATCATTATTATCCTTTCAAACACCTAGGCTGACACAGATCTTCCCCAAGACATGACCACTCCATAGAACTGGATGGATCGGAGTTAACTTTCTTCTCTTGCCCTGGCCTATAAGTCATTGTGTTATTTTGACGTCATCCTATCACTGGTCTCAAACTAACAAGCCTCTTTGCTGCCATGTGAGAAACCTGTGAAAGTCAAGTTCTATCTCTGTCTCCCTGAGTTGCCTCTGCACTTCCTGCATACTGGTGGCCAATGTTCTTGATGCTCACTTAGGAGACCCTGGTCAAATGCCTGTGCACAAGGCAGAACACAAAGTCCCTGTCCCTTCTTTCAAAGAACACACTTCCTGTGGAGAGAATGCACAGAAAACATCTAGCTACAGTCTGGACCATGAATTCAGTTCAGGGAAATTGCCACAAAGAACTACAGCATGCCCAAGTGTGAATGAAGAGCAGTCAGAGGCTGAATTCCTGGAACAAAGCACACCCGAGAAATGCTGGGACATATGCATGAATCGAGGCAAAAACAGCCAAGATAGTAACCTGACTGAGGGGAGGAACTCAGCTTGTCTACATTGACTAGAAGATATATTTGCTTCCAACCTCAGCAAGGACCCTGAGTGAAAGAGAGTAGCAACATAAGTGAAATTCAAAGAATCATAGTTTGTGCCAGCTCCCCATCATGCCAGCATGGGTATGCATACTAATCTTCAGAGGCTGAGGCTGGAATCACAAAGCCAAGGCCACCCTGAGCTACATAGCAAGCTCCTGTCTCAAAAACAAAAAGCAGGTGACAGGGATAATAATGAAGAAAGCAAAACTTTCTTTTAATACTTACAAACATCTTTTTCATTCAGTGTGAATTTGCTTTGAAAGCCATTTAGGTAATTTATTGTTACTTCATGATCGCCAGGTGAAAGAGCTGCAATTTTAATGTTTGTTGACTCTAACCGATGACAAGAATGGAGCCTGCAATGAAAGAAATAAAACTTTTAAGTAGCAGATAAAAACCATGCCACGCTCATAAAAACTTGACTTAGTATAGTAAGCACTGGATACCCTATGCCTTTGTGTAATGCTGGGTTGTATGCAGTACATGCTAAGACCAAACAAAGAAGAGTTAATGGTAGTGGGGGAGGGGGGAAAGCTCCACATGCTGCTCCCTTTAGCACAGAACATGAAGGGACTGTCACCCAGTGCCCCGTGCTAGAGGCAGAGCTCAGCAGAAGCCAGTAGAAGTCAAAAAAACTGGACCGTGGTTCCATTGCACATACCCTCTCTTCTTAGCCACTGCACTGCCTGGACACATGGTTTTCTCTAACAAAATTTCACTGTTTGGGTTTGGGAAAGGCTTCTAGTCCCCTCTGGATCATAGGGTCTTGGAGACACATGTTATTTTCCTCTTTGGTTTCACAGCCCTTTGCTTCTCTATGGGACATGTTTCCATTCTTGTTTTTGCTAATAAGGACTTTCCTCTTGTACCTCAGTTCTCACCCAGCACTGAGCACAACTCGGTCTCATCATTTGCTTGACTTTGGGCTTGACCTTCCAAGCTTGCTTCTTTAAGTTAGGACGTGAAACCATCAGAATTCTCCATTTCATTGATTCATCTTGGCTACAAAGTCTTGCTTTCTTTTTGAGCCTGTGTCTTCTGCTGCACCCCATGGTCTCTGCTACTTTGTAAGTCATGTAACACTGAAGTCAGTAAGCTGCCCACAGTACTGCTGTGGTTTGTTGTGATCCCCTGGTGAGCAGGACCAAAGTTGGTTCCCAGCATGCCATACCACAGCCAATCTTCATACCAGCTGGGAGAACTTATCTCCAAGACTCTTGAGGAGCCAGACTTATTATCAGCCATCTGACAAGATCTGGCCAGCGCCAGCCTAGGGGTTCTGTGGACTTCTTATGAGTCTTTTAAATAGAAAGCCATCCTCCCTTCCCTGCCTCTTCTTCAAAGGCACTGCTGCTCCTCATGTCATACCTGGAACCATAAGATTCCACGCAAAAGATGGCAAAGGAACCAGATGACAAGGAAAGGTTCATCGACAACTGTGCCAGCCTTGGACTGACCACGTGCAGACCACTTTGCTGATAGTTAACACCTGTGTGGAGCTGCTGTCACTGTTGCTGGCATTTTCTGTAACACACATATTTCAATCTGACAGAGACAGATCCTGGCTTGGAGTAGAGCCATGATGGCCCCTGGGCAGACCAGAACACTGTGGGTGAAGCCCCTGGGACATGAGGACACTGTGGGTGGTGTTCCACTTTCATTCTGCATACAATGCATACAATGCATACAATGGGGAAAAAAAAACTAAACTTTTTGCTAGAAGACTTTGTTTCCATCTGGACTAACATAAGACTTAGAATTTTTAAGAAATAGAAGACTGAGTGAAAATGTCCTTTAAGTACCCAGAAACAACTGTCACACTCTAAAATAGCCAAGAAGGAAGCTCTGGATTACAGCTTTGCAGGGACCCCAGAATTTTATTACCTGTCTTTAATGCAGACTTCTTTAACAGTTGCAGGGCTGACCCCAACAGGTGGTGTCCACGTGCAGTCCCACACTAGCATGTTTTTGGTTGTACATTTCAAATCTTGAATTGTCCCTACAGGAGGAAAAACAACATGTCCACACACAACACAGAGCACAAACCATGACTCTCTCTGGCGTACTTTGAGGGTCAGGGTCTCCGTGGCCAGACAAGTACTGGATCTACATAGCACCACTCCTTATAACTGCCTTTCTTATATTTATGGTTGTGAGCCTAGCCTTTAACGGCTGAGCCAGCCCTCCAGCCCTAGAACTGCTTTTCTAACTCTGCTTTTTTGTAGTTAGTATGTATGCATGTATGTATGTCCCGGAACTCGCTCTGGCTGGACTCGAACTCACAGAGATCTGCCTGCCTCTGCCTCCCAAGTGCTGGGATTAAAGGCGTGCACCACCACCATCTAGCCAAAGAATACATTTCTTAATTTAAGATTGTAACATAACCACATCACCATCCACTTCCCTATGCCCCCTGTAAACCTTCCCATGTATTGCTCTCTTTCAAATTTATGGCCCTTCTCTCTTCAATTGTTGCTAATTGTTGTTAGATATATTTGTATGCTAGATAGGTATGTATGTTGACTACTTAAGTGCAACCTGTTTAGTCCATATAATGCTACCATTGGCTAATCAGCTGGTACGCACTTTCCTCTCCCACTCTCACATATTCTGGCAGGAACCAAAAGCTCTCTATCTAGAGTTAAAGCCACTCAACAAGAGGAAAATCATGCCTGCCACTGGAAATCTAGCCAACTAAGTGGGGCTACTGAAATCATGGATCATGTAGGATATCCACCACTTATCTAAACCATCACACTCTAAATATGTGTCCTTATGCCCATAGATAAGCATAGTTAGTCCATATCCCTCATCAAGGTCACTTCTTTTTCCAACGGGTGGAGACTATTAAAGGAAACCACAACTGATCAAAATGAAAAGCTGTGAAGCCCAGTGAGAACCAATACATTTACAAAACAACAACCACATCTAAGGCTCAGGTTAGTGCAGAGGGAGGGGTGGAGAGACTGTCAAAGACACAGCAATAGGGAGTTTGCTGTGGGAGGGACTGTTGTCTCCTAGAAATGTCAGAAGCTACGCCTAAGAGGTCTCATTAATGTGGCTGCTCAACCGTGACCTGAACAAGGAAGATACCAATAGACATGCTAACATAGAGATCGCTCAGGAGGCCTCACCCCTAGACAAAGAACTGCAGTCAACTAAGAAATTGTGTGTGTGTGGGGGGGATGCGGGGACGGTGGACAGTGTGTTTTGTTTTTGAAACTAAAAGGCAACTTGTGGAGTGATTGAGTAGTAGTAGGGTTAGACTACGAGCAAACACTTCACTTCCATGGAAAAGAATTACTCCCGAAAAACTCTTAGGTGTACACCACAACTGAAAACCTGCCGAGCTGGGGCTCATTTGCTGTTTGCACCAGACTGCCCCTCCACAGGAACCTACAATCAATCTTTTCATTGTTGTGAAGCCATTATAGGCAAACACAATGAACTCACACCACCTATAGAAAATGTTCTTGTGTGTGGGGGCTAAACAATGGGAAAGAAACAAGTCAGAAGATTACAGTTCTAGAGTCTTTATCCACACCCATACAATGGCACTGCATGATAGAATACATGGAACACAATGAAAAGTCACCCTGGAATGGAGCTGGAAGGAAAAGAGCCTAGAAAGGGGAGGAGAGGGGCAAAGGGATGGATAGAAGGTGAGAGGGATGGATAGAAAGAGGAACATGAGAAAAGAGGAAAGAAAGGAGGAAGGGGAAAAAGCATAAAAATTATCTCATACTCTACAATGTCTATGAAAAAGCTTATTATCTTCATGTATTACAGGTGTGGTATTTACTGCTGCCATAAACTACAAATTAATATTAAAAGCCAGAAATGTGCACATTAGAAGCCAGCAGTTATCACAATCAAGTTATTTACTCAGTGATCTTGGGAGAATTGGTCTTTTTTAATTATGTAAATACTATAAAAATAAAGCTGACCAGCAGCAGGATGATATCCTTCATAGAAACAAGCCAGGCAGCATCTGCATAAACATTCCTAAACTTTTTAAACTACACACGAGAAGCGCATGAAAAGAGTTTAGATTCCACTTAGAAGACTTTCTTCAGTGACAACATTTGGGACAGAAAACAGCACTGCTGCCTGGGAGGGGCGGAAAGGGCTGGCTACGGGGACACAGTGGGCAGTGTCTGCACTCTGGAACCCAGCCAGATCTTGATGGTGCCTGGGGGTAGCAACTGCACATTGTCAACACTCAGGGAACTGTACCCTAAAGGAATGCATATCATTGTGTGGAAATTATGCTTTATTATTTGTATAGGGTAAAGGATTATTTCCATTTGCCTTTAATAAAGAGGCTTTTCAGGAGAAACTAAAAAGCACATAGGAAAAGGACTACAGAGAAATGGGTTTTAGCCAGTAAAACCCTGAAGAAGTCAGTAGAGAAACAGGACCCTGCTTGCTCATTTGTCGCAAGGCTTACTTACCCCTCTTCAGACTGTGTGCTTGCACTGTCAAATGCAGAAGAGTAAGTGCTGACAGGAGCCACGGCAAGTGTGAAGTCATTCTCATTCTTATACTGTCCACCATCCAGGATGGCTGTTTCCACCGTAAGTAAACACCCATCGCCTGTGCTGTGCTGTGTTGTCAGTCCTAAGAAGAGACAGGAACACCATGGCTGTCCACATGGCTCAGAAAACACACTTTAGTACACAACTCCAGAAGCTGTCCCGACACACACTGAAGCATGCATCTCCATCCTCGGTAGAGAAGCCAAACTCAGCTACTCTGCCTTTCAGACATCAAAAGCTGCTTGCAGATGCTGTTTTCAGGTGTTCGCCTCCACAATCAACAGTTCAACAGGCTTCCCATTCAAGATTATGCCTCAACACAAGTGCATCGATCCACATTCTACCCTAATACTGCTAATAGAGGAAAGCTAATCAATGCCGGGACTGATGTTAGCATACGGTTTGAGCCCTAGATATCCCACTGACTGTGCAGCCCCAAATATACTCAAAGGGACCCCCAACCAATCTGTGCCTAAGTACTCTTCTGAAAGCTGAGGTGCAAGTGCATTTTCCTATGAAATTTATTATGAGAAGCAAGTAATTAAACACATGCAAAGCAATTGAAGTGCGCACAGCTGGTGGTCAGAGCTATATGTTTACAGCATACTGTGTGGGAGACAGGGAAGAGAGGAAACAAGAGTGACTCCTAGTCTTGGTAGCTACAAAACAGTGAATGGACATATGATTTAAACATTTCTGGGTGCACGAAGAAGCGGGCAATGAGATAGGAGGTACAAACTAAAGGATTCAAAGATCTGTTTTAGGGCAAGCACTGGTGTGATCCTATTCCATATCCCAAACAGAAGCCTCCTCCTACAGAGCAGAACACTGCCCAGGGAGAACCAGGACAGCTCGCACAGACATGGCTGATTGGACCACTAACTCACTAGAATAACTACACTCCTTCCCATATCCCTACAGTCCATCTGGCAACCGGCAAGCCCTTCCACTGCATAGCTTTACAGTGCATAGGAAACCAAGCACCACAAAACATACAAACAATGTCTAAAATGTGAAAGAGACTCAGAATAAATGGAAAACAACAATTACTCCCAGAAGAAACAAGGCCAGTGTGGAAAGCAGCAAAATTCTAAAGATTACATTTTTCCTTACAACTGAATGGTATTGCACACACGGGCACCCCCAAATTTTTGTTATCCATTCATCTGCTGATGGACAACTAGGTTGATTCCAATTTTTTACTATAATGACAAAGGAGCAATATTACGTTGCAAATACCTTTAAAATAGGGTATGGAGTTCTCTATATGGAAGTTCACTGAGACAGACCTCATGGCTGGTTAATTGCTATGTGTGATGTTTTTTACTTGCAAGTTTTTTTTTCCTTAATTAGAAAGTCAATGAAAGAGGACAGCCAAAAACTTCATAGTCTCCTGTAAGCAAGGGGACAGCCAAAAGGACAAGGAAGGCATGCCATGAGTGGAGTAACTGAACACAAAAATAGCTCTAAAAAGGTATTGAGTGATGTTAAAAGATTTATTATTGTTGTTATAATTGATATGTGTGTCTCTGTCTCTCTGTCTCTCTCTGTCTCTCTCTGTGTGTGTGTGTGTGTGTGTGTGTGTGTGTGTGTGTGTATTTCCATATGCACTTGGCTGCCTGAGGATGCCAGAGAGGGTATCAGGCCTCCAGGACCTACAGTTACAGGCAGTTTAAAGTTGCATGATAATGGGTTCTAAGATGGGAACTCAGATCTTCTGCAAGAGCAATTGGCATTCTTAACCACTGAGCTATCTCCCCACCTGCATACAAAAAACAAAACAAAACAAAAAAAAAATAAATAAATAAAACACTGAATAATAGTAGAGACAAAAATAGAAAATGGATGAGAGATGGAGACTTGATAAAGAAAAGCGATCTGGCTTCTCTGTGACTAAAGCCTGAGACACAATACATTTGTCACTGACAGAAAAAGGAACACTCTCTTCTTGGCTATTATTGAATACTGTGGAAAACACAAAAGTGGATCTCAGATACCTTACATAATTATAACCCAAACACATATTAGGTGCAAGCACATGCTTCTAACCTGTTTGTCTGTTTTCCAGGTGAGTAAACACGTTCCTAGTCAATACTGATGTCACCTCACACACTTATTAGCATGAAAATGTATTCACAGAATATCCATAGCACCCACTGCTAAGGTTACACAATTCCACAGCTGTGCTGGAATGGCTCAAAAAAAAAATCACAAACTTTACCCACCAAATGGCTCAACATATGCTGAGAGAATGCCTCACTACCAGCTTATGGTTATTCTAGACAGGAAACTCAGGTTCCATTGCAATGCCAGGAAGAAGGGATGAGAGGGGCTGGGAGGAGGTGGCCAAGGAAGAGCTCAGGACCAGGTGCTGCCAGACAGAGACTCTAATCTAGGCTCCATTACTAATTAGCAGTGTGACTGAGGGCAAATCACTTAATCCCTCTGGCTTCAGCTTTCCCCAGTGTAGCCCAGAGGCAAGTTCTGTTTACTGGCCCCAGCAGACTCTGAAAGCTCAGCTGCAATCCTCCATCCCTGCCAGCAGGAACAGGCAGTGCAGAAGGCTGGGTAGCTGGCTGGCTGGCCGGCCGGCACAGACCTAGCACAGGTAGAGCCATCTACTGTGGACTCTCATGCACCAGGATGAGGTGATTCAGCAGAGGAGGAAGCAATGTGGCATTCACATGGCCTGCTCAACTTAAAACAGGATCAAGTCACCAAGTCACGGCGACACTATCACAAGATGCTAACAACACACTCAGCTACCCTTCCAACCCAGACTTTCAAACAGAACTGAGAGGATGAGAATTATAGCATGCCTAGAACCTTCCACTGCACTTTCCAGATAAAAGTGATGCTGAGAATTATCTCTCTCCTCTCACTTCTGGCAGAACCAACCACTACTGGAATCTACGCTGTATGGCACCTCACCCTCACCCTTGTTAAGAGAAGAACACATGTTTACAGTATTTCAGGAGTTAACTTTCAAAGTTTGGGTAAGCTACCTCTTGAAGCAGCCACAGGGTTACTGCAAATACCTGGTGGCCAAAGCAGCTAGCAAATGGGCAGGCAGGTGGGACCACAGTCCTGGGGCAATTTAAAGGAGACAGCCAGCAGGCATGTTTTGCTAAATTCATTAGATTTTCAAGATAGGATAGGAATCTGATTTCTTATGAAATATTCAAAAATTTAAACATAGGCAACTGATTCCTATTTTTGGAGCATTCTAGATAACAAACAAACACCTTCAGACTACAATCCTTACAAGATTACTTTCTATGAATAACATAACTATCATAAAAGATTTTAAAAAGTTCTTACATCCTTCTTTATAAGACAAGTTATTATACAGAATCAATTTATCCAACCATTACATGAAAGAAGAAAGTCTATATTTGTCCTTAATGTACATTCCTTAATGTGACCCAAACCTCAAGCTCCCTCCCAGGGACACAGTGCATCTGTGCATCTACTCTGCCTTGCTCTGCCCCCAGTACTATGGCTTTTGACTCACTGCTGAGGCTAATCAGGAAAACGATCCAGAAAAGTAAAGCTTAAGCCAGCAGCTATGGTCCTAATAGCCTGGGTTTAGTTGGTTTCTTTTTCTCCTGCTTTTATCTGGAGGGGGTAGAGGGAGAGGAAGCTAGACAGAGAGAGGAAGAAGTGTGAGTGGAGTGTGTTCTCTCATCTTGCTGGCATTCTGTGTGCCTTGCGCATGGAGGCCCTTAACCCTGGTACTTCTGGAAGCATTTGGAACACCTGCTCAGTCCCAGCCAGGGAGTCAGCTGTCCAGGGCATCTTCTAACTCCATCATAGTGAGATACTACTCCCTTGACATGAATCACAGGAGAAACTACATTGAGCTGGAGGTTTGGGAGAGCAGAGCTCCAGACTCACACTGGATGGCAGAATAGAAGCACAAGAGGCCAGAGGTCACAAGCCACCCAAGCAAGAGGTTACCATCCTGCTCCAGTATTCTCTGTCCAGAGGCACTGCTTTGGGGAGTGCAAAGCGAGTCTGTACACGACCCAGTATCACAGGGACTTGACAGAACCATCTTCACATGTATTCAATAAGATTCTTTGGTGGGTAATGCATATCAAACTGCTATAAAGTTAAAGAGAACACTTTCCAAAATATAAATGATTGCTTTTAGTCTTCACTTAAAAAGACCGAACTTTTGTCTGAGAAGACAAATACATCCGGACCCACAAGACTGCAAATGGTACATCTTCCATTACTCATTCTTTGTAGTTTTCTGAAGAACAAGGTTTCCAAAAGTGGGCAGGGAGAATAAGAGGGGGATTGAGATGCAGAGATGAGGGGAAGCAGGCACTGAGGAAAACACAGCTTAAAACTGCCCTCCATGCCCAGCACGGATCTCACTGCAGGCTTCACCAGAACCAAAAACCCAAGCTATTGTACCTCTCTACTTCCACCTGTTTCCTTTCTTGACGGATTCCCCCTGCATCCACTTCTGTAGCCTCCTTGTGCTTTTGACAAAACTGCTGGCAAAAAAGAGTGATGTGCTCACTGTTACCACTAATTCCCTACAGAAAGGGCAGACCCTGTGTTTCCACTGTCACATCCCTGTCAAAGTTGTCAGTGCCTGGCCCGTAAGCATAACAGCATCTTCACATATTCTCTTATCATTAGGCCATGTGATATCCCCAGTATTGCCTACACGAGGGAAATGGAAGCTAGATGTGAGCTTCCCACACCTTGCACGGAGGCACCCCAGTACCAAAGCAAGCTGACAAGGCTATCATGGGGCTTGTTGACTTTGTGCAAAAGCAGTGTCTGCCTACCACTTCTAAGAAGCTTGGCCTCATACTAGTCAGTTTCCACATTTGGTCTTGTTAGAAGTCCTTCAGTGACAGTACATCTTTGGTGACTGGTGGGATAAACCATAAGGTTCATCTCCTATAAACATCTACACACTGATGGAAAATAGGGTGGTGTACAATCTGTCTCCAAAGTTTGAGAGACTGCATAGTACCCAATAGGTTCACATACCACTTCAGTAATCATGGCTTTGGGAGAATGAAACAGGGACATTATTTTCCCTTTTGAAATGATACACATGACTT